CTAGCGACTCCTTTCAGTTTTTCTACTTAGGTGCACTTCAATTTTTCTGCCTCTGGGAGAGCCAAAAGGAGTGAAAAACTGGAATTGCCTGCTCAAGCATTTGCCCAAATGATACAAAAAGAAATTTTTTTTAATTGTTGGAGATTCATTGAGGGTACAAGAAACCAGTTACACTGATTGCATTTGTTAGGTAAGGTCCCTCTTATACTTATGTCTTGCCCCCAAAAGGTGTGTCACACAAATGGTACAAATTCTTAACTGGGTTATTACAGCCTACAAAGAAAGTGAAACCCAAAAGTACTAAACAGTTGTAAAATGTTTTTCTCCTTTTTTAAATCCCTCTTCCAATTATACCTTTATTATTTCTTTATTCTCCAAGTACCATCAAACTACTCTGTGCACTTTTAAATCAGTCAATACTAATTTAAGTAACAGATGTTCTGGTATTCTTATTTCAAAATTTATTTTAAAGGTTTAAGAATCTACTTAGATTTAAATGGCCTGATAACCACAACATCAAGAATATCCTAAAGAGAACAAAATTACTCTAGAAGGGAATATGTGGCAGTTTTTATTTGTCATGGAAATAATTGTTGTAAAGTAAGAACTTTTCTGTCAGATGCTTAAGGACTTAATTCCAAGAACACATAGCTAACAGGACCACTCTCATCAAATAGCAGTCAGGGACTATTTGTTACTCTCTTTCCTCAGTCTCCCGAGCACCTGGGACTACAGGCACCCACAACACCTGGCTATTTTTTTTTGTTGCAGTTTGGCCAGGGCCAGGTTCTTATCCACCACCCTCGGTATATGGGGCGAGCACCCATTCTTAACTCTTCTCCTTTATAACATCACCTGCATGGAACCTAGGAGTAGTTCTGGAGAAATTTTCCAGAACTTGCATTCCAGTGGATGGATGGACCCACCCTGGCCAAGGAACTAACTCCCCTGGTCTTGGACCCTCCACCCAAGGTTCTGCATTCCAGTAACTGACCCATCTTGATAAGACTAATAGTTCCAACCTGAAACCAGCCAATCAGCAGACCCTGCTTGCCTAATCTTTTGCCCACCAAACTGTCATTTCCCTGTGTAAGTACCTACGAAGGTGGTTTGCTACATTCTTGCCTATAGCTAATCTGAATTTTAACGAACTTAAAACATTATTTATATGTGACACATAAGTCCATAAGGGGGCTTCTAAACTTGTGAGAGCTGTGTTTCATTTCACCACATAAGGGAGAAGGAAAGTGTGTTGAAGAGAAGAACCAATGATCTGAAAATCACAGTAAATCACCAAGGACTTCAATGTACTTTATGGCAAACTCTTCAGAAGTGAATAGAATGCTTGTGTTGAGGTGTCAAAACGAAAGCCCAGAGAAAAAGGCCCAGCCTGGTAATTTCTCTCCCCTCAAAATATCTTCCATAAACTTGAGAAGATCCAAAGAACTTCCAACACTAGTGATATTGCTCTTCACTTTAGGCTTAGAGGTTCTACAGGAATTTTTCAGAAGTTCCCTTTCAAACAAGCTAAAGATCTCTAGAGGAAGTTCTATTCATTTTCACGCAGGACTTTGATTCTTTAATACTGCTTTGTCTCAAGGATTAGTCAAAGCTGACTAACAAGATATGGGCCAGAGACAAAGGGTGACAGGACCAATGCTCCTAAGTTATAAAGAGGTGAAGGGTCACCGCAGTTTCCCCTCAGGTCAAGTTGCTAAAAGGGAGCTATGCCCAAGCTGTCAGAACTCCCGCCTGAAGGAAGTTTTAAAAGTAAAAGTAAAGAAGTTTTAAAAGTAAAACTCTGTAAGTCCCGGATCTGGGGCCTGTGGCCTTTGAAGGTGGGCCGCCTGGTCCCGGTGAGAAAGCAGCACTCGGGCCCAAGTGTCCCAGGAGCGGTTTCTGGATCTATCCCTGCTGTCCCTTGCTGGCGCCTTCGGGTGCGCTCTCTCAGGATCAAGTCCTGTCTCCTTCCACCCCTGACCAGTCCTTACTTACCCTTTCTCCCGCTCTTCCTCGGTGAGAAGGGGTAAGTGGTTATTTTGTGCCCTCGCCCAATTTGGCCAAAACCCTAGAGTAAAAACGACAGAAACAGGCACTTGCTTAAAAAACTCTATTGTCCAAGCTGAGGATTTCCCACCACCTGCCCAACACTTCCAGGCAGAAGGCAGTGCGTCCCCACCGCGCTCCCTCAGGGCCGGGGCTTGGGGCCCATGA